TTAATAATTACTTGTTATTACCATTACTATCATATTGTGGGTTTGTTCATCAATCTTGAGATCAAGATTGAAGGAAATTCTTCATAGGGTGTGAGGTGAATTTCCAACATCTGGTATCTAGAGCTCCGGTTGAAAGATTCAAGAAAGAAAGATAGTGATGGCGATGAACTATCCGAACGACAACTTTCCGGCGACCCTGTCAATTCTCAAGAAAGACAATTATGAGAATTGGTGCAAGCAGATTAAGGTGATTTTCTGTTATCAAGATCTTTGGGATCTTGTGAAGGACGGAGTAACATCGCTCGGGGAGAACGCAACGGAGGCGGAAAAGGCTGGGCACAAAGAATTGAAGAAGAAGGATTATAAAACACTCTTTATAATTCATCAGTGTGTCGATCCTGATAACTTTGAAAAGGTTAGTGATGTTGATTCAGCAAAAGAAGCATGGGAGATTCTTGAAAAGTCGTTTGGAGGCGCAGAGAAGGTGAAAGAGGTGAGGTTACAAACTCACAAGAGAACCTATGAGTTGCTTCAGATGGAAGACAATGAAAGCATTACAGATTTCTTCACCAGAGTTACAAAGTTGGTGAATCAAATCAAAGTATGTGGAGAAGCGCTGACGACGAAAGCAGTTGTCTCAAAGATTTTGAGATCGTTGGCTCCAAAATTCGACCACGTGGTAGTTGCCATAGAAGAGTCGAAAGATCTGTCAGTGTTGACGAAGGAAGAGCTTCAAGGGACTCTTGAGTCTCATGAACAGAGGATGACTGAGAGAGCTGCAGGAAAGTCGAAAGATATGGCTTTGCAGGCGCAGTCAGAAAAGGAAAGAAAAGGCAAAGGTAGCTGGAATGGCAACAAAGGAGGAAACCAGTCGAATCAGAAGAAACCTTGGAACCAAGGCAACCAAAGAGGTGGTGCTGCAGGTAAAGGAAGAGGTGGTGGTCGAAAGGCAGACAAAAGCCACATTCAGTGTTTCAATTGCCAAAAGTATGATCATTATGCTAGTGATTATCCAGAAAGGAAGAGAAATCAAGAGACTGATGCAAAGCTGACGAAACATGAAGAAGAAGAAACGTTGCTAATGGTCACAACAAAAGATGAAGAAAGATTCCAAGATCAGTGGTACTTGGACTCAGGATGCTCATCACACATGACTGGAAGGAAAGATTGGTTTGTCAACATGAAGCCCTCGTCGAAGAACACAGTGAAGTTTGCAAATGACAACACTCTAGCAGCTGAAGGTGTTGGTGATGTTCTGATTATGAGGAAAGATGGCAAAAGGTCAACAATTTCCAATGTGTTGTACATACCAGGCATGAAGAGTAATTTGCTCAGTATAGGGCAGCTTGTCGAAAAGAACTACAAGGTAGTCGTCGAAGACAAGATGATGAGAGTTCTCGACGCATGTGGTAGATTAATCTTGAAGGCTCCAATGTCTCAGAATAGGACCTTCAAGATTGGACTCAATGTGATGGAGCACAGATGTCTAGCAACTGCAGCCAGCAGAGATGAGTGGTTATGGCATTTTCGACTAGGTCATCTCAACTTTAATGACATCAGAGAACTAAAGAGAAGAAATATGGTTTCAGGATTACCAGAAATCGACATTCCAAGTGAAGTCTGTGAGGAGTGTGTTCAGTTGAAACAACACAAGAATAGCTTCAGCAAGGATGCAGGAAGGAAGTCGAAGGCAATACTTGAAGTCATATACTCTGATGTGTGTGGTCCAATCCAGGTGGATTCGATTGGTGGCAATAGATACTTTGTCACGTTTATAGATGATTACAGTCGAAAGCTGTGGACTTACCTCATCAAGAAGAAAAGTGATGTGATTGAGGTATTTTCCAGATTCAAGTCCATGGTCGAAAGACAGAGTGGTCGAAAGCTGAAAATTCTGAGGACTGATGGTGGTGGAGAGTATGTGTCGAAAGAGTTCGATACACTATGTGTAACAGAAGGGATTGTGCATGAGGTGGTGCCACCTTACACTCCACAGCAAAATGGGATTGCAGAACGCAAGAATAGAACCATCATGAATATGGTGAGAAGTATGTTGAATGGAAAGCATCTACCTAAAGAATTATGGGGAGAAGCAGTTTCGACAGCAACATATATATTGAACAGATGTCCGACGAAGAAGCTTGAAGGAATCACACCAGAAGAATGTTGGTCTGGTGTCAAGCCTAGTCTCAGTCACTTGAACGTATTTGGATCTATAGCACATAGACTGAGAATACCAAGAAGGATTCAGTGAGAATCTCTTGTGAAGAACCAGCCACTGAAGTCGAAATAGAAGTTCGACAGGAACCAGTTGCAAATGAAGCAAGTTCAAGCAGACCTCGACGAACAAGACACATGCCTGCAAGGTTGCAAGAATGTGTAATTACATCAGATGATGTAGTCGATGAAGAGGGTGAGTTGGTACATTATGCTTTCTACGCAGATGTCGAACCAGTCAATATAGCTGAGGCATTGAAAGATTCGAAGTGGATGAAAGCAATGATTGAAGAGTTGGAGTCCATCGAAGTCAATGATACCTGGTCACTTGTCGAATTGCCGCAAGGCAAGAAGGCAATTGATGTGAAGTGGGTTTACAAGGTAAAGGTAAATCCTAAAGGAGAAGTAACTCGACACAAGGCGAGACTTGTGGCAAAAGGATTTCTTCAGAAGGAAGGAATCGACTTCGATGAAGTATTCGCACTTGTTGCTAGAATCGAAACAATCAGGTTGGTTGTTGGTCTAGAAAATATGAACAACTGGCACACATGTCAGATGGACGTGAAGTGTGCATTCCTTAATGGCCCCTTAGACGAAGAAGTTTATGTTGCACAACCAGCTGGGTTTGTGAAACAAGGCGAAGAAAGAAAGGTGTACAGGCTTCATAAAGCCCTGTATGGACTTAAGCAAGCTCCAAGAGCTTGGAATAAGAAAATCGACAGCTTCTTAAGGGAGAAGGAATTTGTGAAGTGCACAACTGAGCATGGAGTATATGTAAGAAGAAGCAATGGCGAATTGCTTATACTATGTCTCTATGTTGATGATTTGTGGATAACAGGGAGTTGCAAGAAGGAGATCGAAGATTTCAAACATGACCTCAGTGAGGAGTTTGAAATGTCAGACTTGGAAAATCTCTCATATTTCCTCGGCATCGAATTCTATAAGACAAGTAGAGGTTTGATGATGAATCAAAGAAGATATGCAGGCGAAATACTTAAGAGATTTAAGATGCAAAGTTGCAACCAAACTTCGACTCCAGCTGAGCCCAGATTGCAACTGTCGAAGGATTCAGATGAAGATGATGTCGACCCAACCCAATACAGAAGACTTATTGGGTCACTTAGATACCTTTGTCACACAAGGCCTGACTTAGCATACAGTGTTGGTATGGTAAGTAGATTCATGCAGAAGCCAAAGGTATCACACCTAGCAGTGGCGAAGAGGATACTGAGGTATCTGAAAGGAACTCTCGACTATGGTATTTTGTTTCCAGCAGCTGATGAAGGAAAAGAATGCAAGTTAGTGGGATACACAGACTCCAGTTGGTGTAATGATGCTGAGGATCGAAAATCCACAGCTGGTTATGTGTTTATGTTAGGTGGTGCACCAGTTGCTTGGAATTCGAGAAAGGAACCAGTAGTGGCATTGTCATCATGCGAAGCAGAATATATAACTGCTTCTCTTTGTGCATGTCAAGCAACTTGGATGGTGAACTTGGTCGAAGAAATCACAGGGAAGAATCATGGAGCAATTACAATGAAGATAGACAGCATGTCAGCTATCAACTTGGCGAAGAATCCAATAGCTCATGGTCGAAGCAAGCACATCGAAATGAGGTTCTATTATCTCCGAGAGCAGGTATCAAAAGGGAAGATGAAGTTGGAACACTGCAGAACTGAGAATCAGATTGCAGATATCATGACGAAGGGAGTACAGGTCGAAGCCTTCAGAAGACTAAGAGCCATGATGAATGTAGACAGTTTAGACACAATGAATTAGGTGGTGTGTTAAATATAATTCCTTGTGTAAATAGATTTGATTTGATATGATTAGATTTGATTTTAATATTTTGGGCCTTTTATGTTTTGGGCTAGTGTAAACCTAAAACTATAAATAGGGTGCCTTGCTTTGTATTCTATATCACATTAGAACTGGATTCACAGTTGCAGTGTTAGCAAGTGAAGGTTCAATAAAATCAGAAATCCCACAGTTGTGGGTAACTCAATACTTCTCTCATTCTTCTCTTTCTCGTGTGTTCTTCTTTTCTTTTGATGTTCTTAATAATTACTTGTTATTACCATTACTATCATATTGTGGGTTTGTTCATCAATCTTGAGATCAAAATTGAAGAAAATTCTTCATAGGGTGTGAGGTGAATTTCCAACAATTCCAATTCAGAATGACCTTAAATCAGAATCTTTTGCCTTCTTCATGCGATTTACAAACAAAAGAAAACAATAATAATCACTACAATAATCATTAATGAGTGGAGTTATAACACACAGAAAGCAAACTAAGCATGCTCTGAATTAATTATTATACAAACAGTTGAACTAACTCAGCTGCTTTACTCAAAACTTGTTAAATATAAAAGTGTTGGCTGCATTATCTATATAGTAACAAAACAATCAGCACTAAATGTATGAGTATACTGCAGTGCAGATCCTCTACTGCCAACCACTTTTCTTCTAAGCATGACAGGGCACCGAGCATTTGAATGAGTCCCGAGTTTACGTGCTAAAGAGATATCCATTCATGCATGGAGCTCACTAGTCTCAAACAACTGTACATTGCTCACTCAATCAAGTATGTATCAACACGACAGAAATATAAAATAAAAGCCAATCTGAGTTATTGGTGTATACTAGTATGTAGTAAATCACAATTCAAATCAAAGTGCAACAGCTAGCATATGTATCATTTCACAACATATACTAACAACAAATCAAACCAACATCAAAACATGACATGAAAATTCAACTTGATATAAGAAATAAAATATATCAGTAGTAAAAGGTGAATACCTTGACGTATTCATTCCATGCATTTTCATCTTCGACAGTAATCATGCATTTTGTGTCATCCCAATCAAACCCACTTTGACAGAGAATATCACTGACTATCCTATACCAACTTCTCCAAAGTTTGATGTGGCTTATGACACTCTCTTCGTTAAGCTGAACATTAAAGTGTGTAGACAAAACATCAGCCGCAGTGTTGTATGCCAGTGTTTTCCATACACCGTCATTCTGGCGGCCCAAACTTCTTTGATCTCCAAGTGCCTCAGCTAAAACACGCTCCATGTCCAAATTTCACGTGAATTAACCTCTTACGTCCTCTTTTTCATCCCCAACATTGCTTTCTTCTATCTTTCTTTTTCCCCATGTCTTGTGGCTCAAATTTCTTGCATTGACTAAACTAGAATCCATTTCTTGAAATCAAGTGAGCAGACATATGGGTCAGCGCTCTTATATACCCAACAAATCCAAATAAACAGATAATAGTCCTCCGAGATAACATCCTTAATTTGATATGACTATGAATTATATAGCAAGATGCATAGAAACAAGACATCATCTGTGCGAAAATGAAAAGTTAACCTAGAATCTCATTGAATTATCTTATCTAATAACTAAATGATCCTTCAATTCCTTTTTATTTCACTGTCCTTTTACTAGTAGAATTCAGTTCGACATACTGAGCTTATGGAGAGGACCAAAATAAATCATCAATCTCATATCAAATCCAAATGACCTTAACTTATGTGATCTTAACAAATTTCTTTAAAAAATCACTATTCCCTTCAAATATATTAGTAGAATGAAAAATTTTGCAGTGAGTCCCCAGTTCCCTTTACTTTCAATAAATAAAATATCCATAACTTTTTAAAAGGAAATGTTACTTAGTGCTTTAAAACCGATTACATCACCTAAAAGTCGGTGTTCCTTATCAGCCACAATAATCAAATTTCTAGTATATTCCCAAAAATTCAAACATGTTCAGAGCAGAATGTTACTTTACCTACAAATTCAACCTTACACATTGAAATTTAGTCTCTATTAGGGATGCAATAACATGGTTTATGAAGATAAGATATAAGCAATCAATAATCAAGTCAATCATTCTTATACACACATTGTGAATATATAACAATTTTGAAACTGAAAGCAAAGTGCTTAAATTCCTAGATTTAGCGTATGTTTGACTCCGACACTAACACCGCGACATCAGTAATAATTTGAAAAAATAAATAAATAAAACATAATAACAAGTGTCGGTGCAGGTGTCAGATACTGACACTGACACGTTTTCTTTTCAGAGGTGTCAGTGCTACATAGATGTTTGGTTATGCAGTGAGGAGAATTGATTATGAATGAATTGATTTTATACAATTGATTCTGGTTAAAAATGAGTTAGATGTAAAGTGACTTATGTTGGATACACTTTATGTAAACTTGAGTTGAACAACAAATTTCAGCTTAAAAATTAAGTTTAAACTAAAAAAAACTATATATTGTAGCTTCAGATAGAATAAATTATGAAGATATAATCAATTCTATTTTAGAAGAACCAAACACTTCAAAATCATTCCAGAATCAATTCTACACCCAGGGCCGGCCTTTCACAGGCGCAACAGGCTCTATGGAACTGGGCCCCAAAATTTTGGGGGCCTATTTTTTTTTTTTTGAAATCTAATTAATATGAAAAAATTTAAAATATATATTATTTTTCCTCATTCCAAACGCAACCTAAAACCGAAAAGACGCCAAGGAAAATGAAACGTCGGCATTAAAGAAACCCAAAACAAAGTTGTTTATATACATCACATAATAAACCAAAAACAAAACAATATTAGAAAGAAAAAAACAAAACGGCGACGGTGAGAGTGTGAGACGACGGCAGTGCAGTTTAATCGGTAAGTTTGTTCAAATCAAAGTAGTTTATCTTCATGTTTTGAAAGAAAAAAAATATAAAATTAATGAAAGAACATACATAGATAGAAACTTGTATGTGTTTCTTGGTTTATGATTCTTTCTCCCATGGCTCTATTGTGTTTTTTTTCTCCTAAAATTCTAAAATTGGTTGAGTTAATTTTACTGTAAAAAGAAAAGAAGAAATGGGTTAAGTTAGGTTTCAAAGAAGAAAGAAGAAAAGAATAGAGATGGAGAAATGAATAGAGAATAGTGAGTGCCGAGTAGTAGCTGTCAAATAAATGGTATAAGTAGAATAATGAGTTATGAGATTATTTTGTATTTTTTTATTACTTTATACTTTTGAGTTTTGATTAGTTCATATTAAAAACTAATTGAAAAGTAGAAAGGTTGCAAGTTGTCAAAGAAGTGTGATAGAAAGATTGCAAGCTGTCAAAGAAGTGCTTTTTATATTGTTGTGTCAAGAGTATGTCATTTCTATGTGTGTGACTCATTCAATTATCTCAATAGACAATAGTTTATGATAGAATCTAAAATTTAGAATTAATTGTAATAGAAAATATCAACAACAGTAAGATTAAATTAAAAATAATTAATTTTGGAGCATTTTATTTTCTGTATATTTCATAGTAGTGTTAGTAAAAATAGTGATAATATAATTAAAGTATTATTAATAAATAATAATCCCATTTTATGATGATTACAAACATGTTTTTTTTTTCTGGTACTATTTTTGCTTGCACTAATTAATAATTTATTGTAGGAACTTAATTTAACAACGAGGCTACAAATAGATCGATTGCTAGTAAATATTGCAGAGTTGATCATTGGCGGACACAAGACATTGTGAGATATTCCAGGTTTTTTTTTACTATGCCTCCTATTATGCCTCCTAAGAATAGAAAGTATGAATGTGGAAATGATAAACGTAAGAAAAGGAAAAAAATTGAAGAGTTAATTCAATCTCAAGCAGGAGCTCTTGATAAATTTTTGATAAAAGAACCACAAGTTCCAAATGAAAGTCATTATGTTGATAATACTAATGTTGAAATTCTTGATAGTGTGCCCATTGAAAATGATAATGTTGATAGTGTGCCTATTGAAAATGATAATGCTGATAGTGTACCTATCGATGATGAAGTTAATAATGATGATGATAATCTTGAGGAAGTTAATGATGATGATGATGATGATGATGATGTTGATTACGATATATTTGATCCAAGAAATTGGGATCGTCTTCAACCTAAAATGATTGATTTATTAGTTATGAAAGGGCCTAAACGGGATAATTCTATTGTGAGGGGTCCTAGAGATAATTGGAATCGACGCTTTACGACTAATTTGTATACTAGAGCTTTAGCAAATGGAGAGAAGTGTGATAGAGATTGGCTTGTTTATTCAAAAGAGCTTGATAGAGTATTTTGTTTCTGTTGTAAAGTTTTAAAAAATGGGATTGGTAGGGGACAATTAGCAAATGAGGGTTATAGTGATTGGTCACATGTTGGTGCAAGAATTAAAGAGCACGAGTTAGGCATGGAACATGTTAAGAATATGACTACTTGGTATGAGTATCGTCAAAGGTTGCAGAAATTTCAAACTATTGATAAAACGACTCAAAGATTAATTGAGAAAGAAAAGGATCACTGGAAAAATGTTTTAAAAAGAGTTATTTCAATAGTGAAATTTCTTGCTAAACATAATTTGGCATTTCGTGGTTCTAAGGAAAAGTTGTACGAAGATAGCAATGGCAACTTTTTGGGTTTGATTGAAATGTTAGCTGAATTTGACCCAATTATCCAAGAACATGTTAGACGTGTTACAACTCAAAAAGTTCACACTCATTATCTTGGACATAAAATACAAAATGAGTTGATTTCATTACTTGGTTCTGCAATTAAAATTGAAATCATTAGAAAAATCAAACAAGCAAAGTATTTCTCAGTAATACTTGATTGTACTCCGGATGTTAGTCACCGAGAGCAAATGTCTTTGATAATAAGATATGTGGATGTTTCTTCAACTTCTATTAGCATTGAGGAATCATTTTTAGGATTTTTGAATGTGAATGATACAACTGGTCAAGGGCTTTTTGATGTTTTACAAAATGAATTGAAAGAACTTGGTCTCGACCTATTTGATGTAAGAGGACAAGGTTATGATAATGGGTCAAATATGAAAGGAAAACATCAAGGTGTACAAAAGCGATTTTTAGACATAAATCCAAGAGCTTTTTATACTCCTTGTGGTTGTCATAGTCTTAATTTGACATTGTGTGATATGGCTAACTCTTGTAATAAAGCTAGGAATTTTTTTGGAGTTGTTCAACGCATTTACACAATTTTTGCTAATTCAACAAAGAGATGGCAAATTTTGAAAGATAATGTAAAAAGGTTGACTCCAAAATCATTATCATCCACTCGTTGGGAAAGTCGTGTTGAAAGTGTCAAAGCTATAAGAACTCAAATGTCAGATTTTACAGAAGCTTTACTTGAAGTGTCAGAACATGATCTCGATCCTAAGATACAAAATGAAGCTAAATCCTTAGCAACTAATGAGCTTGGTGATTTTGAATTTTTGATGGCTATAATTATTTGGTTTGAAATATTATCTGCAATTAATTTTGTTAGCAAGCTTTTACAGGAAAAGGATATGCTTATTGATGTTGCTATGGAAAAAATAAAGGAGTTGATTTCATTTTTTGAAGGATATAGAGAAACAGGTTTTCATAAGGCATTGGTTAATGCTAAGGAAATTGCGGTTGAATTGAATATCGCTCCAATATTTCCTCAAAGGCGTATAATTAAAAGAAAAAGACAGTTTGATGAGAATTTGAATACACCAGCAGTCGAGCTATCTGAAGAGGAATCTTTCAGGGTTAATTATTTTCTTTACCTTGTTGATCAAGCTGTTGTTTCTCTTAATAAGAGATTTGAGCAATACCAAGAGTATGAAAGTATTTTTGGTTTCTTGTTTACTTCTCACAAGTTACAATCATTGGATGATGCAACTTTGAAGTCTTTTTGTAGTAACTTTGAACGAGTACTGAAACATAATGAGCAATCTGACATTGACGGGAATGAATTTTTTGAGGAATTAAAGTTACTAAGACAAATGTTGCCTGAAGAAATCATAAGACCTACTGATATATTATTATTTTCAAAAGGCTTGGATTGTTTTCCTAATACAGTTATTGCATATAGAATTTTGTTGACTATTCCTGTGACAGTTGCTTCTGCAGAAAGAAGCTTTTCAAAATTAAAGTTGTTAAAGACTTACTTGCGGTCTACCATGTCACAAGAAAGACTTAACGGATTGGCGTTGATAGCAGTTGAAAATGATCTTTTGGAGACAGTAAAATATGAAGATTT